ACTCTGTCTTTTCACCCATACCAGCACATACAGATCTATCTCAATCACATGGACCTACTTTGTAGTCCATTGCATAGACGCACTATAATTTACACAAATTGTTCTCTACAACTGGGCCTTTCCTTGATTGTGAATATTTTAAATATGTAGCATATTTCAAGTGATATATTCTTTTAGGGAATATCTTCCATGACACTTTAAATTCTCCGTGGAGTCAATGTAACTTTTTGAGATTTTTGTAATAGTGTCATTGATAATTTGAAGAAACTAAAATTTGCTTCTATTATTTTATTTTTATTTCCTTTATTATTATCCTTTAATCTTATGTGTATTCATTATTATTATATTTGTAAATCCAAAACTTTGATCATAGTTCACAAACTAGTAGACCAAATCTGAGTTCAGGTGAATTGGGCTCGTGATGAAGCAAAGTCTATGTGGCCTTGACAATAAAGCTATTTCACACATTAAAATCACCTCTAAAACAATTTGGGTCAATAGGGAAACATAATTTAACTAATCAAAATTCCTAATATACATAGGTTTTAAGAACCATGGAAGGAAAACTAGGACCTTTAGTAGCCTCCTTGTGTCAGATGCTGCTGCTGCTGCTGCTGCTGATGATGAAGAAGATGATGATGATAATGGCAATCACACCAACGATGATGACAACAGTGATGACAACAAAAACTGGCCGCATCTAGGTTCTCAGAGTTAAAATAATCTTCTACTGTAAGAAAAAAATATATTTTTTAGCATGTGAATGAGTGAATACTTAAAATTTTGTGATAGGTTTAGAAAATTCATGCTAAGAAAAGGTGAAATAATCTGTAAAATGGTTACTTGAATTGTCACGGGATTGCCATTTAACAAATGACACTCCTGTGTCAGGGAAAGTGTCCGATCTTTCCCTCCTTCTGCTTTATACTTTCATAGGAAAAACTTTTATAACCATTCAAAAATCTTAAGATAATAATACGTTCAGACTTTCAAATACATTACTTAACATAAATATATATTCATAAATTATAACATGCAGAAAGATATTCTTTAAGGGTGTCAGACTTTCTAAGTTTACTTGTTAATTTTGGCATCTGAAGTCGTTGCATGTGGTGGATACTTGCACATGGTGGATACTTAAAAGATACATGAATCTTAATTTGATTTTACTCTCTGGGTGAGTCTTGGGGCCAGTATTGACACTTTGCTAGAATCTAGCAGTCATATTCCAAGCAGGGTCATACCATCAGTCTGGGTTCTCATGAAGACTACAGAGAATAATGTTGGAGAACTAGCTCACTTGAAGATGCCTGCAAGGAACTTTCAGATTCACAGTGTGAATGTGTTTTTCCTTTCAAGAGTTCTCTTGCTTTCTTTTCTGAGAGTTGTTTTGTGGTTTCCAGGAGCCATTCTTGACCCTGATAACAATAGTGCTAAGAAACAAAGTACTACAGTTAAAATAAAAGAAAACAAACCCCATAACCATTGGTTTTCCAATGTGCTTAACATGAGAATCTCTCACTTATTTCTTAAAAGCAAAAGTAAACTGGTGTTAAATTATAGATATTTAAAAGTGAAAAGTTCTTTCAAATATTATTCAGTCTACTCTCAGAAAATTTTTGAACCCTCTCCACATTATTAGCATGTTACTCTATTTCCAGTAAGGGCTGAACTTCTGAGCAATGTCCTCTCAGAACAGAGCTGGGTATAAAGGGCTGGGAGATCTTCAATAGACCCAGAACCAGAACCACCCACTGCTCCAGAGGTGGTGGAGGTGGATGTCAGGGTACTAGACTCAACTGCAGGTGCTGGGAGGAAATTCAGGCTGGCAGGCAGAACCCGGACTCTCACGGTTGTGGAAACCTGGAATAAGTGCAGAATGGTCATCAGTACCTGGGAAATCCATGACTGGGAGAGCACTGTGGTGGCAAGCCCAGGAGGTGAGGTTTGGAGACACCAGCTGACAGGATAATAGGTCAGGATGTATCCCAGTCCGTAATGAGTTTCAGGGACAGGATTGTAAACCACATAGTCTGGTCTATCAAGTCCCTAAACCTGACCATCCAGCTGCAGCTCTGCCCTCATGATGTGCCACCTTCCTTCTCACCCTCAATGCTCCCACCACTCGGGCTTTCTTTCCAACCACAGAATACCAAGCTCTTTGCTCCCCAGAGCCTTGGTCATTCAGATTTCTGCTTAAATGTCTTCTCCTGCTGGAGGCTGTCACAGGACACTCTCTACCACATGATTCCTTTTAATTACCTGTATAACCTTGAGGACCCTCCCCTCATTATCAAAATCCTCTCCACTATAACAAAAGCTCAATGCAAGCAAGCTGTCTGTTTCTCTTGTTCCTTATTGTATCCAATAATCCAGGTACTTTTACAGGTACCTAGCATATTATAGGTACTTATTAAATATTTAAATAAATGATTGAATGAATCAATGAACTAATTAATACATTGGTTAGCAAATGAATTACTCTAGTTGGGATAGGTGATTGACAAGATAAAAGTTTCTGTGACAAATAATATTTGAAATCAGGGGCCGGCCCTGTGGCCTAGTGGTTAAGTTTGGCGCACTCCACTTAGGCAGCCTGGGTTCACAGGTTTGGATCCCAGGCACAGACCTACACTCATCAGCCATGCTGTGGTGGCGACCCACATAGAAAATAGAGGAAGACTGCCAACGACATTAGCTCAGGGCGAATCTTCCTCAAGCAAATACAGGAAGATTGGCAACAGATAGCAGCTCAAGGTGAATCTTCCTAAGCAAAAAAAAAAAAAAAAATTGTGAAACAAAATGCTGGACTAAATAACAAGGGCTGGGAGAAGAGGAAGGCTATCGCCGAAGGCACAACTCTTTAAAAATGAAGAGAATGAAAACATATGGCAAGAGTGAGGTGGGGGAGGAGGTTATGCTGAATAGCTTGAGCCTCAGTGGAGAACCAACTATTAGAGGATGGTGGAAAAACCTGGGTTTGGACAGGGCAATGAGAGAATGCCAGCCTCCCTCTTGTTTTGAGAAATGGGAGCGAACAAATAAACCTCACTCAAAAGGATGAAAGGGTACATTTGAGTTAGGTTACTGTTAAGGGAGATTTGGATAGAGCCATCTGCCAGGTTGTGGATACAGTGGGATTTGTTCATGATGGTGTAGGGAAACTGTGGAGGGGGAAGCAACATCTTAGAGGAGTCGGGTGGGAGTGAAGAAGAGTCCAGCAGGAAGAGGAGGAGAGTCCCCAGAGAGACGAGGGAAGGAAGGTTTTCTTTGGAGATGTAGGATTACAGAGATGATAGTCATAGCAGAAGTGATTTGCTTCAAACATGTAACTTCGCCTCAAGTTCACAGGAAGCCTGGCAGTACCTCGTCTAATCTCAGGGAAGAGAACCCCAACTGTCCCTCCCGCATGACAGTGAGGACCCTGATTTGGGGACAGCTTCTTAACACTCACACAGGGAGAACAGCTAATCATCAAAATGCTGTGGAACGGTGGTTTTGTGCCAGGCACTCGTGGTGGGAGGTAGCTAAGAAGGCAAGTTGGACTAAATAAAGAATAATACGTTTCTTGCCCCCTCTCTAACAACTCACTCGGTTCTGTAGGCTACTTATTCTTCCCGGAGAAATAAAGCCAACCTAGTGGATGAGCACCAACAGCATCCAGTTCACTGTGACCTGCCCACCCAGACTCCATGTCCAGACACCGTCCTTGTAATGAGGTGGACAGCTAAGGGCACCCCAATTCTCTTAAGGTAGCGGAGGATCATTGAGTCACTACATACCATCCTTGGTCTAAAATTGAGCATTCATTTGGATTCTTAAATTACATACAATAGTTATTTGTTGTCTATTCTCCAGGTTGCAATGTAAGAGGTATTCCCTCACATTGAGCATTCAGTTAATAAGCACACTCTATATGTCAAGGAGCTTTAGATAAGCTATTCAATGTACTGGTCTCAACAATCTCGAAAAGTGAGCACTATAATCCTGCTTTTACAAATGAGGACGCTGTCTTAGAGGGGCTAACTTGTTAGACACACACATAGACACAGTGCATCTGACCCCCAAGCCCACGCTCTTTCAAGTACACCTCCCCTCACTCTGGAGCCACATGGACTAAGGCTCAGTTTCACAGAAGCGCTTATAGTTTGTGTCAGAGCAATGCTGCTTTGAGAAAACTGAAAGTGGAAGAAGCAGGATTGTAGTTAGACGTAGCTGCAGTTTGCAAATTTTTGGGTTAACTCGTAATTTTTGAACAACCATATAGAAGCCCTCCCCACCCGCCATTAACTTGGTGGTCACTGGATAGGAATTTGACACTTCTCCAGGTATGGACAGTGTCATATACCTGGGGGAAAAAAGAGGCAGAAGTCAATACGATATATTTAGTCCAGTGTCCTGTGGGAGATCAGGCAGAGGAGAGAACAGCCAGTGTGAATTAGGCTATTGGTTCTGTCCACAAGGGAGACAGAACATCATGAGGTACTAGAACTTGACCGTTTGTTTTTGTGATTGTTTGGTCTTACTGGGAGTGGGTTTAGGAACTGGGGTCGCTTCAATAGAGGAAAATCTGGCATTTTCCCGGTTTGCCCAAGTAAAAAGTATTCTTTCCGTTGGGTGGTTGCATTGGGTCAGGAAGGGTAAGGAAAGTCCACTAGTTATTTGTCAGTTGGGTGGAAACAAAGGTAACAGAGGAACGGAGTCTAACCTCTGTCAGATTTCCTGAACGGGGGGGAGAAAGGCCACCAGTGTGGCTGCCTCCGGAAAGGGGTGGGTACGGGGCAAGTGTGTGCTTGGGTCTGTTTGTCAGCCAGAGTTGATTTGGTTGAAATAAGAAAGCGACAGCTCAGGAAGGCCATAAAGCCCATCCTTTTCGCCAAGCTGCTTCTTAGCGGAGTAGAAAGCCCCAGCCCGGAGCCCACCCAAACCATTTGAGGAGCAGGGCAGCGAAGAGGCAGAATCATCCGGACACGGACAAGACGTCCTGAGGTCAAAGGACCATGGAGAAGTTTTGGACGGGGCTTAAACTGCACCTCAAGTACTCCACCGTCCCGGGGTATGGCTTGGCGACCCTGGTGACAGCGGGCAGGGAGCGCATCCTCTTCACCGTGGCGTTCCAGTGCCCCTGCAGCGCCTCCTGGAACCTGCCCTACAGCCTGGTCTTCCTGCTCGTGCCGGCGCTGGCGCTCTTCCTCCTGGGCTGCGTGCTGAGCGTGCGCGCCTGGCGCCTGGTGACCGGCTGCTGCGCCCGGGCCGCCTGCACGGGCTGCGGCGAACTGAGGTCCCGGGCCAAGGTGTGGACGCATCTCACCTGGGCCGGCATGCTCGCGTCCTTCACCTGGGTGGCGGTGGCGCTGCTCGGGGGCGCCGTCTACGAGTGAGGCGCCAGCGGGAGCACCGAGGTGGCGCGGCGCCTGTGCGCTGGCCGCGACTCCAGCTGTGCTGCCCGGCTGCCGCTGATGCCCTGCCAACAGGCCGGGGAGCCCGACGTGCAGGACCTCCTGAGGGAGCTCAGGGCCCAGTCGCAGGGCAGGAGCTGGTGCTGAGCGCGGCTGGGAGGAGAGGGGAGGGACAGACGGTGTGGGGTAGAAATCGGTGCCCTTTCTCCGGGCAGGCGACACCCAAAGGCAAACTAGAATGGCTGCTTGCGTCTAATGAGCCCATAGGCGAATATGTAAATAAAACAAATGAAGAAGAGGAGAGGCGCTCAAAGAGTGTCAGGCACCTGCTGTGCCAGAAACCGTCTAGGCTCTTTACTCCTCCATTATTCTCTTACATCTTCATAGCAAATACACTGAGTCTTGGTTATTCTTCGTCCATCGAGAAGAAGGTGGAAGACTTGTTAGAATAAAATGGGTCGGCTTAGCTCTAAAGCCACCAGCTCACGCTGCTTCTGGGCTTATAAAGCTCAGAGGTTCTTGAAAATGAATGCTTGTTTCATTGGATTTGCCGAGAAATTCCACGTTTTGAGTTCTAGAGGAGTGACATTCAGGCTCTTCCCTGGGCCCTTGACATGACTTGAAAAATGACTGACTTGTCAAGCAAGCAGTTGTACTGAGGGGTTTGGGAGGGTGCTGCCACTTCTTTTTCTAAAGGGATTAAGACCTAAAACTGTTGCTTGTTCATCATCCTAACCATGTGTAGTTCAAACTTTATCTGAGGATTTTACAATTTTTTATAAAAGATGTAACTAAATTGCTATTTTGTTGTGTTTTCCTAAGGTGCTAGGCTGGTTCGTGATAGCAGCTGTTATCATTGCCCCTCTGATTTTTGTATGTGTCTCCCGATGCCTGGCTACAGGTAGTTTCCTGCAGCTGCAATTTTTGAAAACGTATTCGGAACAGGAGCAGGAGATCCTTAAAAGACAAACCACAGAGCTTGCAACCAAATTGGCAGAAGAGAATGTTAAATGTTTTTTTGAGAGCTCACATCTAGAGAAATACGACACTCCAAGCGCTAAAGACTGGCAGCAAATTTCACTCCCACGTACTTTCAAACCGAATGAGCAGGACTACAGTGTGTTGCACAAATATGTTAAAACAAAAGCGAAGAAACATCTTCTGAGTTCTTCTGAAAGAGATGAAGTCGTTTCTTCTCTCTCTGTAGATTCACCTGATATGGTGACCACTGCTGAGTTATGACCTTATTAATGAATAAGAAAAAGAGTTCTTTTGAATTATTGCTTCATTTGAAATAAAATAAACATTGGTATTACTTATGACTGCTTTTTAAATTTTTTTTTTTTAATTTTCCCCCCAAAGCCCCAGTAGATAGTTGTATGTCATAGTTGCACATCCTTCTAGTTGCTGTATGTGGGACGCAGCCTCAGCATGGCCGGAGAAGCGGTACGTCAGTGCACGCCCGGGATCCGAACCCGGGCCGCCAGCAGCGGAGCGCGTGCACCCAACCGCTAAGCCACAGGGCCGGCCCTATGACTGCTTTTTAAATTTTTGGTTCTCCAAATTGTGGAAACATAGAATTTTAAATCAAATAAAAATTTAGAACTTTATCTTTTATTAAATTAATTATGAAAAAAGGAAGCAAAGTTAAATGATTCACTCAAAGTGACAAGCTGGAACAGAATCAGAAGTTTTATATCCCTAGTCTAGAGTCCTTTCCACTGAATAATAAGGCTGCTTGCAAATAAAAGACTTCAGTAGCAAAACAGCAAAGGAACAATTAAACTCCACACCTTTCTTTTAGGTTATCTGATGTTAATTTCACATGCACTCTCTTGCAGACAACACACTGTCAGGAACTTTAAAATACCAGCATTTTGTGGCTCTAATATGGTTACTAAATAAAAATACAAAAAATCATCATGAAAAGGAAAGTAAAAATATTTTTAAATACAACATTTGAAAAACTAGGAAAATTGCAGGCATAGGGTTGTTTTTAGTTTGCAGGATCAGAAGGAGAATTTTAAAGCTGTTTATTATAGTAAATTTAAAATACACACAGAAGTGGACAGGATAGTATTATGAACCACCAAATAGACATTACACAGCGTCAACAGAGTGGGAAGTCAGATAAAACCCGTACCATACAAACAAATATAGAGATACAAGTTGTGACCTGATGTGGATTGGCGGGGGTAGGGGGCGAGGGGGGGGTTGGGGAAGTCTGTGAGAAGGTGAAATCTGTAGAGTAGGAAAAGCATGTCAGTTTGCAGGAACAGTGTGTGCAAAGACTGAGGTGAGAAATATCTTACAGACTGGAAAAAATGAGCAAGGGACAGATCATGCAGCCCCTTGAAGTCATGCAAAGCATTTTGGTTTTCATCCTATGCGCATTTTAGGAAGATTGATCTGCTTCTCTTCTTGAAACAGGAATGACAGGGGGAAGTGGGAGAGCCAAGGTGGAGATGGAGAAACTCATCAGGAGACCACTGTGGTGGAAAGAGGCAGGAGTGAACTTGAACTGGGTGGATAGTGATGAAGATAGAAGAAGTAGATAGATTCAAGGTAGATTTTGAATGTAGGCATGACAGGATTTGTTGATGGAAAGGATGCAAGGATTTATTGAGAACAACGATATCTATAGAGAAAATTCTGTTTGATAATGCCGGGACTTTTCAGGGGATGTTAGATTGTCATTCCTGCCCATCCCCCAAATTTATGGCTGTTCTTGCAGTTTTAAACATGAGATATGAAAACTTTAAGCTGAAACAATTGAGCACTGATCATAATTATCCTGTTCCTGTCTTGGCAGACCCTTGTGCCAGCTTCTACTTGCTTCTATCTGCCCTTTGCTGCACGGGGCCATTAGAAAGAACTAGTCTGCAGGGTTGAATATCCTGTTGTTGAGAGTCATATATAATAAGAAAGTTGGCAACAGTAACTGCATGATCAGTTCTTGCCTATTCCCTGATGAATAATTTTGAAATCATATTATACCTACTTTCATTTTTGCTTCCTTTATTTCATTTTCCAATTTCTCTTGTATATTCCTCCTTTTCAATACATTTTTTCTTCTGGTCTACCGTTTACTATACTTACACTTTCAATAGTATTGTATTGCCTCCATTTTGTTGACTTATGCTGCATTTTCTCTTGCAGAGTCTTTACTAATTATTGTGAATATATGCTTAAGATAAAAAATGATAATGGTAGAGAACTGGATGAAGTAAAAAGTAAAATTACCTCATTCCTCTGAATATATCCTTCCCAGAGGAAGCCATACACTCTGTGACTACACAAATATTACCATACTATACATGTGGCTCTGCAACTGAATCACACGAAATATCATTGTTCTATGTAGATATATAACAATTTACCTCACAAAAAATTACTGCATAGTATTCTACTGACTAGTAGGATAGGCTCCCTTTTTTGTTAAAAACAATATACACACATGAATATACACAAACATTCATAAAGTACATCAAGGTAAGCACCAAATGGTCAGGTTTGGTCAATTCTGGAACTAATAATGGGCGAGGGGATTTTTCTTTTTAACCTCAGGCACTTTTGATCTTTGGGTTTTTTGGTAATGAATAATAAATATAACTGTGTAATTAGGAAAGATTACAAAGAACCCTTACACTGCTGTAGGGCTTTACAGTCAACCAAGCAGTTTTGCATCTTTCACTTCATTTCATTTTCACGAGTATGTGGGACACCTGTGAAACACATCACTCACACTTACAAGTGAGGAATTGACGGTTAGAGAGGTGACACTACTAGTCCAAGGTCACGTGGTCAATGAATGCAGACCTGGAGCAGGGGGACTGATCCTCTCTGCATCCTGTGGTTCAAAGTGGTCACTTGGCTGTTTTTATTAGTGGGCCAGAGTTCTCCCTTTTCAGCCCAGGTGCCCTTGTGAGCAGAAGAGATACGGATATCCTTAGTGATCCCCAATATTCTTCATCTCATTCAGAAAATTGGCAACTGTTGAGAGCTAAGACCTCTTTGAATAGACGGAGTGAGATCAGGACACAGCACAGTTATTTCATGGTGGGAACACGGTCACCACTGTTTGGTAGGACACACCACTCCTCTGAGCCTGGCCCCAAACAGGCCACATTACGGGCTCAAGAAGCATTTCTACACTCGGTGTATATTTATTTGCTGGCTCACCAAATGATCCTTCATATCACTCTGGCTTTATGCTGCCCTAAAGCCTTAACCTTAGAAGAGATTCAGACACAGCTTCTGATATTAATATTTGCGGAAAACAGCCATATTGTTCTAAGACGTGATTCCACAACATATTGAGTACTAGCAAGATGATACAATTTACAGAACATAAGATTAGGTACGGTCTCTTTGCTCCATCCAAAGCCATGAGCAGAACATCAATATTCTATGAACTGATTAAATTAACAAATCCTGAGGAAAGCATCAGAAAATAGAATTAGCCACGTATGCAAATGTCTGTGGCTGAAAAACATCTCGGATCTCCTAAGTTTCACAACATCTTGCATCTTATCTACCAGGTGGCCTGTTGTAAATAACTCTTCCTAAGACAAAAGATGGAGAGATGCTTCCTGTCTGAGTCAGACCCAGCACTCCCACTGAGTGCCTACCATGTATCAACCCCGGGGCCTGCCCTGAGAGCTAAGCCTTTGGTTGATCTCATTTTGTCTCTTCCTCTTCTTTACCTAATGAAATATGCCTTGTGAATGTCAATGGAAGGACTGTGGAATTGATTATATTATATTCTCATCTAAGGAAAGAGGCCTGTATCAAAAAATAGGCAAGGTCTGTCAGACGCTTTGCCACAAGGAACAGAATACTAAAAACTTCCAAATGAAACAAAAATTCTACAACATTATGCAATTTATTGGTATTTTAAAAATTGAGAGATATCAAACATAGAGAAGAGCATCTGAAACATTTATGTACAGTTTAAAGAATAATCACAAAGTTCTATGTAACCACCAGAGAGGAGAAAGAAATAGTATATTTCCAGCACCCCAAAACCCCCTGCCCCATGTGCCTCTTCAGAAACCCAACTCTCTCCACCTGGAAGGGAGGGTGATATTTCCTTACTTCTATTTATAGTTTCACCACATATGTATGCATTATTAAAATATTAATGTTTAGTTTTGTCTTTTTGAACTGTTTATGAATGAAATCATCCTCTAAGAATTGTTTTATCATCTTCTTTTTTGTTTGGTTTTGCTTGATAGATTCATCCATATATGTCTAGAACAACTTACTTATTTTGATTGCTGTATAGTATTCCACTGCATGAACATACCACAATCTAGTTATCCATTTAAGTGCTGATGGACATTTGGGTTGTTCCAGTTTCTGGCTCTTAGGAGCAATGCTGGAGTGAACCTTCTGATATACACGTGCAAGTGTTTCTTCAGGGTATGTTCCTAGGAAGAGGTGGAAGCACAAGGGCATGTGCATATTCCAGTTTGCTAGATAATGTCAAATGTTAACCATAAAGTTTGGACCAATCTACACTACTACAAGAGCTCCCATTGCTTCTCACCTCTGCAACACCTAGTATTTCCAATTATTTACTTCTTGTCACTCTGGTGAATATGTAATGGTATTTCTCATTGTGGTTTAAATTGGCATTTCCTTAACCATTGAAGACTTTTGACATCTTTTCATATGTTTACTAGCAGTTTGGGTATCCTCTTTTATGAAATGTCTATTCAAGTCTTTCACCAATTATGTTTGGGTTGTTTTTCTTTTTTATATTTATTTATAAGATTTCATTATTTTTTCGTTCACTTAAACCAACAAATATTTATTGAGTGCATGCTGTGTTCCGGGCATTTTTCAGGTACTTGGGATCTGTCAGTGAACCAACAGCAAAGACTCTGACATTGTGGAGCTTACATTCTAAGGGGAGAAAGAGATAATAAACAGTAAGCATAATACATAAGTAGATAATTGGGTATGTAAGGAGGAGAAGAATACTATGAAAAATAAGAAAAAGGAGAACTTGTATACAAGAAATAAGATGTAACCTCTACTCTAAGAGGCATTAGAAATGCTGGAGCTTCCAGAACTGTTGCCCTGCTTGAGAAGTAGTCTTTTAGCAGAGACTTGGAGGGGTGAAGGGTTAGCCAGTGTAGCCTAAGAGTAGTGAGCTAGGGGATAAAAGTAGTCCATGATGTCAGAGTGGTGTAGGGGGCAGATCATGTTAGGCCTTGGGGCCATTGTAAGGACTT